AAGTAATTTGTGAAGCAAAGGCATCAAAATGGTGTTGCGTAACCACCTCTGTGAATTTTTACGGACACAGCTGGGCTTTATGGGGGTACTGTAAGTTTAAATCAAAGTGAATATCTATGAGGAAAAAAGTGATCTGTCAGGCTTGAATACAAGGAAAGAGCATGGAACATCAAAGGACTGGAACATCTCTAAAATGTCTATTTTTCCAATCATGTGGGACTAAGTAAAAAAACAACTTTTCTCTATGAATTTACCTTGTATCATTAGACTGCAACAGCTACATTTGTAGACAAATGGCACAGATAGGGAAAACTGTTAAGTTATTTTCAAGATTGATATTTCTTTCTATTGCATTTTAAATGAGAAAATAATCAAACAATTGGAAAAAAAAATAGCATCCAAAGATAAAAGGAAAGAAAAGAAAGAGAGAAGGCATGGAAGAATGCAATGTCTTCCTGGCTTTATAGCAGTTAGAAAACAAAGAGGCTGCCTCCTAAGTATGTTGAATTGGGGAAAGCTGGAGTAAGTGTCCACTCACAGTCTTGAAAATTTTCACCTTGAGCTCTTGTGTGTGAGGGAAAGGAAGAGTGGGGATCAATACGGACGATGCTAGAATAATTGTAATTTTGCACACATTGTATTAGCTCTTATTAGAAAAGATCATGACTGGAAACTCACAAAAAATCACTCATAAGGCTTTGCACTTAATGTCTCTGAAAAATGTCTACTGGGATCTTTTCATCTCTAAGCCCCTTTTGAAGATCAACTTTATCCTTTAAAGTTGGGAATGATTTCCTCAATGGTCACGCAAAGAGGCTCTGATCAGTTTAGATTTTAATGAGAAATTCAATCACTTAACTAAAATTACTACTTTATACATGAAATTAATGGAAAGTTTTCTTATTGACAGTGAAGAGGGCACCTGTACTGAAAAACTGTAAAAGAAGATACACCAGTTCTGTGAACTGATCTACAGCTATTGTTGCGGAAGAGTTTCACCGCTTTTTAAGGGGTGGGAGAAACAGCACAGGCAGAGAGAGCAAGCATTGCAGTGCACATCATTGTTCTATGGGAGAAAGGAAAGTTTTGCACATCTGGGAACGGCAGTCTGAAAATACAAACACAAAATGTGCTCCCTGACCATAGTCCAGCTTCTGCATGAATGTGTATATTAACATTTTCCCTAGCTTGAAGTTGTTTAGTTTTAGACATACAGCTTATTTACAAGCAGTATATTTCAGCCTATAAATGTTGGGTGACAAAGATCTGACATTACAAAGGAGGACTAAAAAACATCTGCCAGAGCAATACTCAGAGCATTGTATCAGTTCGCCCATGCTACCAAAAGCTGTAATAGTACAATCAATTAGGAGAACTATCAACCTCGTTTAAACAGAAAATGGTGACATCAAGTTGAACAGCTGCCAAACCCACCATTGTTTCTGAAACCATTTTCTATAGCTAAGTAGCCTTAAGCTATGTCTCTAATATACATACACAAATGTAATGACATGATTTTTAATGACAGTATGTTTGAGTATCTTACATATACCTATTATACAAAGACATTCTTATATTGTTATATATACTACAGCTTCAGAATATCAATGCTAATATGAAGCAATTGGCCCATAATAATGAAAGCAGGTCTTTCCACTTTTTTTCTGTAAGATTTTTCCCACATTTTTTCTTTCCCGTCTTTCTGATCTCTCCTTTTAGTACCCTTCACCAGAGTTGAAGACCATTTACAAGCTGATCTATTACCTTTGGCACCTCTCTTCTCTGCTCTCTCTTTCACTTTGGTTGCACGATTCATCACTAAGGTAGTACCTACTGTAACTGTGAGGCTAAACTTAACATGCTAGAAAAGCTAGTACATACTCTTATTATGAGGCTAAACTTCACATGCCAGAAAAGCAATGCTTACAGTAATGGACTGTATCTGCACCTAGCAAAAAAAAAAAATCAAGAGTAAATCAAGAGCAAATTGAGAATATAACTTCAAATCTCTAATCTCTCTGTATTACATGTCATCATCAAGATAAACAAAGTTCTGCAGTTCTTTTAAAACACACCAAATTAATAGAATTTTTGGAAATTTCAATCAACGATCTGCTGATAAAAATCAATTTCTGAATGTAATGAACACAAGGGTGTAGTTGTTGTCAATCAAAAATCCTTGACTTGCCCTTTCAAGACTCTCTCCATTTCTGATACGGTCCCCCTGCTAAATCTTGAAAAATGATCTTACCTTTCAGGAATTGCTTCTGTCTTTATCCATCATGATCCACATGCAGATACGATGGGAAATGTATTCATTCAGATCCCTCCCTACAGAAATTTAGATGGCTTGCTACTTTAAGATCCTAGTTGTATATAGGTTCAATAGAAAGTGGCCAGCTATTTGTCTTCGTACGTTGCCCTAGCAGTCACAAAGCTTGCAAGAACATACACTCAAGTTTCTGAGCTCAAGTTCCCTCTCAGGACAGCATCAAACACCACAGAATTACAACCTAAGAGCTGCCCCTACACATTGGGGTGAAACCCCAGCCTTACTGAAAATCTCAGTGACTCCAAAGGGGAGGGATTTCCCCTTTTAGTTATTTACATTAACTCCTAATCCAGGATTATATACTGCTTAATACACGAACTACCTCTCACCTTTTACAGCATCGAGTCTGACAATAATCACTATTGACAATACTACTTTGACTCTTTAAGGTACTTTTATTTAAAATGAGAATAAAAACACAATGCTATGTCTCATTTCTCATATTGCAATGGCTTAAGCAAACAATGAAAAAACAGAGGTATCTTGTGACCTTAACAGTTGTTATTTACTAAGATTGTTCAATCTTCTACATAAAGGTGCACTATTAAACAACACAAAGAGGAACAGAAAAATTATCAAAAAGCAGTTGGGCATGAATGACCTATAGTTTCAAAAGGGCTGTTATCTAATTAAATTTGCTGTTAGAGTTAAGATTACACTCGCTTAAAGCAAACATGACAAATTCACTTATTGATGTTACCAGAATGATATGATCTCATCAAAACTTGACTAAGCCAGAAGTCATGAATTTATAACAGAGGCCAAATCCTGCTTTCTGATTCATTTATGAAGTTTCATGCTGTAGAAATTCACCCCTAGTTTAAGTCTATCAACCAAGAAAGATCTGGCCCACTGAACTACTACATTCAGGAGTTCAAGGTAAGAAATATTTGGCCCAAACTCTCTCTCAATAATGCAAGATACAATCTACTCTACATATCCAAAGCAAAGCTTTATTGATAAAAGCAGCTTTATGCAAATGTTCAGCTATAAATTACTTCTAAAAAGTTGGCACTGCAATGTTCAGACATCTATTTAAAAATACTATTTTGTTCTTTTTGGATGCTTATCAGATATCTTATCAGATAAAGCTTTGTTCATGTGAATCTAATTATTCAGGTTTTTGCTAAGTTCTTTCCTGTTGGAGCTTCTTGCAAAGTGACTTCAAACTGTTTCATTTTCTGAATAAACTGAGTGATTCCAAACAACTTTTGCTAGAAGAGGAATAAATTAATGTTCGGGAGCTCACAATCCTTTTGGTCTTCAAAGCCTTCAAAGGATTTAAAACACAGAATTTAACTCTTCCCCTCGCCCCCCTTTGAAGTGGGTCATTTTTAGTAAAGCAACTTAGCCTCGGGTTTCTTCAGAGCTAGTGCATTACGCTATTCCATATAATACCAGAAGTGCTAACAGCTTAAAACATTACCAAACAGTAGTCTGAAGACTTGTGTTTAAGAAAAAAAACAGAATCAAGTAAGTTTTTTCTGCAAAAATTAATGTGGTGTCTTTCTATTTACTGGCCCCAAATCTAGGAATACTATTTTATTCAAGCACTAGCCAGAGTGGAAGATAGAAAAGTTGAGAGAAAAATCCATGGGAAAAAGGCTTAGATATGAAAAACTCAAAGCACTCATTTTACATCATTTTAATTACCATTGGTCTTTTTACAGTTACTCACTGTACTCATTATAAACTTAGCCAATTTAAGAGAAGATCATTAATGCCAAATGGGCTTCTCTCATTTCAGTGATATTTCTTAGGAATCACCTAGGAAAGACTGAAGAAAGAAAGGCAAATGATCTAAATTGGGAATATGTTTTCATTCCAGAAGAATTTGAATTAACAAATTTTGAGATACCCCAAAAATTTCCTGAAAAAACAAAAACTTCCACTTATATTAAACATTTGGAGTGTATTCAGCCTTAGACACAATATATTCAGGTGCCTATATACAGCTCTTTATATTTAAGCTCTTACTATTAAAGGGGACATAGTCATCACAGTTTATGAAGTCACAAATGCTGTTCATTTCCCCCTGAAGCACACATCCACATGTAACTCTACATAGAGTTGAGACTCAGTCTCCTTTGATTGCAAATGGGAGCCAAGACAACCAGCTCATGTGGAGACACACACAAAGATCTAATTTTAGGTGTTGGGTGTTGAATCCTATCCTTGGTTTCAAAGCAGTCAATACTTTGTTTCTGTTTTTCTTAATAAATATGAGGTAAAGTAAATCTCAAAATGAAAATGGAAATATCAGTTACATATAGTGAAATTTCATCAAAATCAACATATTCCAGAAGAAAAGTTTGATTTTCATAAAAAAGTCTTTCCTGAAGACAAAAAAATTCATCGGGGAAAAAAACAAACAAACAAACAAACACAACGGACATACTCTAGTTCACAGAAGATGGAAAAATAACTAGGAAGTTTCCTTCCTTTTCCTCCTTTAAGGCAATAATACTAATGGATATAAGACTCTGATTTTGTTAAGAGGGTGTACATGTAGTCCAGAAACAAATCCTCATGAACGGGTACTCAATAATAAATAATTTCAGAGCTCACTGAAAAGTTATGACACAAATATTAACTATATGGACCTCAACAGCAAAGTGGCACTAAAATAAGAAAAATATTAACACTAAATATAAAGTTGTTTTCCTACCTGTGTGCAGACAAGTTATTGAGGTACAGGGTGTATTTTTCTTCAGCAGACAGGCCATCCATCATCAAGTAAAAAACATGAAAATTACTCTGGTTTAGAGGTTGCATAATGACACGAGACTTCTCCAACATGTATGTATAAATCCTAGCTGATTGAGAAACAAACAAATAAATTCATCATTATACTGATTGCTCTAAACTTATATATTTTAAACCACTCACCATTGCAACATTGAAGAACAAACAACGTTTCTTATAAAACAGTCCAGGGTGAGAATAATATCAAAACTATTACCATTTATTCTACCATGGCTTTCTACATAAATCAAATATAACTCCCTAATTCCATTAAAATTAGCGGAACAAATGTCTTACCTTACTTACTGTCTTACATTATCTTTAAAATTACTTACTTAATTTTAAATATAATGATGTTGATTTGTACTCTGTTTTACTTATTTGAGGAACCAGTTGTCGTATTTGGGAAGACTTTCTAAGAGACAAGCTGTTAGTCATCTCACCAAAGTGTAGCCATCTGAGCACTGGCATCTATTCTAAGTTCCTTTGTAATGCAGAGAGAAAGATGGAAGAGAGATTCAAGACATCTTGGAAAAACTGCTCTTGGAACCATTTCCTCTTTCTCTGTTGGTGATCAAGAGCGCTCAGATTAATAGTTTAGATTAACCACCTAACTTCTAGATGGCTACTTCTAGATGGCTACAAAGAGACAAATCCTCTGCAGAACTGGTCATCAACAAGCTCAGTAACCTGTGCCTGGGGAAACATGGGCATCTCAGAAGGGTTATGATGAGCTGGCCAAATGAGAAGCCATGTGAATCAGCACATCTGGGAAGAAGGTGAAGGAGGACAAACCTGACTACGATTTGCCTACAGAAATGCTGATTACATGATCACATGTAACCTGAGGCTCACTAAGGTTCTGAAAGAGGCAAAGCACAGAAGCAGAGGAAATATTGGACCCTCAAATCCATTCATCTCGTTTACCAGATTACAGGCATTTTAGAGGTATTTGTGAAGAGACAGGAGATTCACTGTTTTGGGCAGACTACTTTTCAGTCCTCCACTGAGTGTCGACCACCATGCAGTTCCAGATGCAGCAGGCGCAAGAGAACAAGGGAATGCCTAACTGTAGCTAGAGGTCAGGGCCCTCCCTGTTAGTGAGGACCTGATTCCAGTTCCCACTTACCCCACTGTTTGTACACTTTACCTCAGCATTGCTTAAATACTAGCTGTGGTGCAAAGACCAGAAGCCTGTCCCTTCACATACAACTGAGGACCCCCACCACTAGGATGCAGTACATTCTGTAGCAGCATTATGCTTTTCAATCTCTGCAATACGGCAGAGCTTTCACAGGGTCTTAGCAAGCATCCTTACCCTGGAAAAGACTGTTGAGTTTAGAGGATAAGGTGCACTTCTCAGCTATGGAGGAGCTATATTTTTGAAACCCTGTAACCATAGCTTCCCATAGTCTGGATGACAACCAGCTCATCTAAGACTCCTTCCTTTATGAACTGGAAGTAGTTCTTGAACATTCAGTAATAGAAAGTACTGGTACATGCATCCTGTAGCACGGTAAGTATGTCCTCTAAACACATACCATTTTTAAGCCACTCATGGTTTTTTAGAATTTTTTTTTCTTACTTTTTTGAAGCAAGCTGGGATTAAGCATAAAATAGCACTGAGTTATTCAGTGCAGTCAAAACTCTTGCATTTCTAGATATATGCAGAAACACAACTTGCCTGAGAGACCTGAAGTTTGAAGGCAGAGTGGGAGTTTAAAGACTTCTAAAGATGGGGATAGTTGAAACAGTATTTTCAGAATCAGTTTTGGTCTCAAAAGTATTGCCCAATGCAAGGCTGAGCAAAGTTATGCAGGTTAGATCTCAACGTGTGAGAGTGTGTATCAGAAACATGGTAGTTGCATTAGCCTAATGGCTAGGCTAGAAGCCAGAATGTCATGCTCCTGCCACCATACAGCTGCTAATATCCACAGTAGCTCATTTAGAGCTAGCTTCGTTGTTGTTATACCATCTGTATTTGTCTAGTAATTATATTTTAAATTTCACCTAAATATTTTCTATGTTTCTGTCCATACTGTTAAATTAAACACAGCAAACTCGAAGTTAGTTGAAGTTGTGTGTATAAGGGAATGCAGCCTGTGAGAATATTGTTAAAAGACAGCGTAGGGTGGAGGGAAACAAAATCAGTAAATCTTGAATATATTGTTTTGAGAAAGGTCTCAGCAGTTAAGTGCTGTCCCTGAAGTAAGTATAACTATGCACGGTCTCACAAAGTGCGACTCTGCACAGGCCAAACCATCCCAGACTCATTCCAGTTGCAGTAGGGAAGGTCAGTGGTACACTACCCAGGCACATCTTCTACCCTTCCTTTTTTTTAACAGCACAGGCATGGTCTGACACATGTGCTGGCAACCTAAACCATGCCTGTGATTCTAGCTTCAGACAAGACAGTAGGACTGACAGAGGAGAGTTGTACGGCTGACTTGCTGAACCAAGGAGACATGATCTGGCCCATTTAATCATCCTACAAAAAGTAGAAGTGAACTCCTGCTATTATGGAACCTATATTATGAGAAATTCTGTATCAGCCATCTAGCCCTCTGTTGCTACACTACGGAAAAAATAACAGTGCTGGAAGTAAAAGGGCACGCTTGGGAAATCATTAAGCTGGTAGCAGGATATTTTTCTGGTGCCAGTAACTTTGCAGCACACTACAAATTGAAGTAATGCAGTCTTAACCTATCGTGGCAGGACTGGCCCAGACACACACTTTCATCAGAATCAGTCATTACCTGGCTGCCATTCCTACAGGGTAAAACAGGATAGACGAACCTGAAGGATAATTTCCATCTTTTATTGTGCGTGTAACTTATTTCTCAGTAAGACTAACTCTACCATCAAATCATTTGAAAAGAGGCCATTATTAATCTTTAATCACTTTTTTTGTGTGCAATGATTTTCACTAAGGCTTTCATAACTATCACTCAGGTGTTTTTAACATTCATTGATTAGTAAAAGCAAGAAAAATGTTACTGGAGGTCATCTATCTGATTAATTAATACATTTAACTTTAATGACAGACAACACCACTTATTTATATGACACAAATTAATTCAGCCCTTTTCAGGTACTTCAAGTCACCCACTTTAATAAGGCTAAACACAGTTCATCTCAGTTAGCATCTCCAGCAATGGGAAGAGCTGTTAAGAAAAGTTGAGCTTCCGATCAGCAAGAATCAAACACAGCACCATCTTAATGGAGCTAAGGTAACTCATAAAGAAAACTATCACGGTAATATGCTTTTCTACAAAGTGAAAAGATATGTTCGTTAACCTATGTGTGAAATAAAAGGGAAAAATAATAGAGTTCCAGAGCAAAGTCTGCCATTTTGTGCAATGTTAACTGTGCTTACAGGCACAAGGAAGTTTGTCCTTCCTTTAACAGACCACTTGATCTACTGAGCAGCTACACAGTCAGCAAGCAGACTCTGTATTGAAAGTGTGGCTAGTGAAATCTTTCTTCCAGCTATGCGTTCTTTGAAACGACATTGCTCTTTCTCAAAAACCATGCTGTCCTAAACACAACTATTGCTAAAGACAAAATAACATTTCAAAGTTCCGAGCTGAAACACAGTGCAAAACACATCAGAGAGCTTAGCTGGCTGCAGTCTTTCTTATACCAAAAAAGGAAATTCACATCTGAAACTTTTTAATTGATAAAAAATGTTTGTAACACCCACAGGCGAATACGCATTCTGCTTCATTTTACAAATCAAATTAGATCCTTCCATTTCAGTGCAACTTAAAAAAAAATCAGACCTTGCTTTTCAAAAAGTGAAGACTGAGAAAAGCAAGGCCTAAAAAGCAAGGCAGGAAAATCTGGAGAATAAGTCTGTCAGACTTGATTTTCTCTTCCTAACCTTCTTTTTTAGTCATTTGAGGAAACTGAGAGAAGCCTTACCTATCATCTTAGGAATTATGTAAACTTACCTGAAAGACCATTTACTCTCTCCCTTTCCAAATAAAAATAAAATGCAGTAATTTTACTTCTGGAAATAAATAAATAATCAGTCTTTTACTACTATGCAGTGGGTGTGAATCATCGTCTATGAAGGATTACAATTTTTTGGCAGAAGATCAGTCTTTGAGTTCTGTTAGGTAGGAATTTATTTTAGAAACTTAATGAAATCACTGGCTTGTAGTTTATTCTGTATTTGTTCTGATGTAAGACTTTTTACTAGTTCCCACTGCCTTATCTTATCCAGTCACAATGAACAATGTCTTAATCTGGGTTATACCTTCTCCACTTGTTTGATTAGACTGAAGCAATGAAAGGTACTTGACCACAAAGCCACTTGTCACAGAAAAACTCCCATTTGAACCCAACATCGCAGCACACCTCATCAGAAACAAGAGCCAGAGAAGACACATAAAACCTCTACAGATATCTGTACTGGCTATGAGTAGTACCACACTCAAGAGCTCCATCCTTGTTTTCAAAACTTCATGGCAAAGGTCCAGTTTATGAGAAAGACCGAATTAAGCCTATACATGAAAATTATGGCCAACGTTTCTGTTATTTAGGTATATTGGACTTCCTGCTGTAAGAATAAACGTTATGTGACAAAAAGAGCATTTCCAGTGGCTAGGCATAAAAGAACTTCAGTCTGAACAAAAAGCTGTCACAAACTTCACCAATGTCCACTCAAAATGCAAGGAATGCTACCTTGAGCTTACCCTCTATAATAAAAATGTACACATGTACTTTGCATGCCCCTTCCTTAGTAAAGTGTTCTGGATCTCCACCCTTAAGATTCGTCTGTTAAGGGGTTTAAACAACCTAAACCCTTTGATGGAGGCAGTCTGGTGTCACTTGGATTTTTGTTTACAAACCCAGACATATTTAGCCCAGTTTGCCTCAATGAGTTATAAAGTCATGTCTCAGCAGAATCAGGTGCTCTGCATATTTACATTTTTCATTCATGTTTAAACAGTGCAAGACAGTAAATACTGCTGCAAATGATCTTGCAAATAGATAAAGAGAATCACTGGGTGGGATTTAAACCAGCCTGATTCTTTTCTCATTTATGGTGATGTAAATCTGGGACAATTTCACTCAGAAGTGATGTTTAGCAGTGGCCTAGAAAAGGCAACATCCACAATGCAAATCAAACAGCATGAACAACTGCAACTTACAAAAATATTAAGAACGCTTTCACTGCTGTACTGGGGCTTCTCACTCTTGACTGTAAATTACAGAACTTTTGCCTACCTTAGATTTGGTAAGAGTAATTAATTCCATGCCTAAATATTTGGGGAATAGTAGGGCAGATGATAAGTAGTTTGTTTATATTTGTAACAGACTTGACTACCCCAAGATTTTCTCATTTAATGCCTATGGTTTGAAAGTGATAAAAACACAGTATTAGTGTACCAGAAACCCGACATGAGAGCCTTGTTAACTGATTCCACGTTTATATCATTCACAGACAAGGGCTGTGAATTAAACTGGCAAGTCTGTGTAAAGCTGCTTGAAAACTCAAGTCCCTGCAACTTCAAGCAAGGCACCCAAAAATTGTGGGAACACATGGCCTTGAAGCCTTGAGGCTTCTGTTCTTCATCTGAGGAACTGAATGACACAACCTTAGGTCAGAAGTACTGTGAAAATGAAGACATTTATGTTTCTGAAATGCTCATACAGTGAAAAATGTTGACAACCAACACAGAAAATCCACAGAAAACCTATCATTCTCTTTTTAGAGCAGAATAAAATGGCACAAGCCACACATGAATCAATGAAGGGAAAACAAACTATTTAGTAGCAGATCACTGAAGACATATAGTCTCTGTGCTGAATGAAGCTAGGGAGGGGTGGAAAAACAACAGCATTAAATTTGTATGCACAAGGCAACCCAAGAGTATCTCAGACAACTTCAGTTCTGGCATTTCCTAATGTTCATATGCTTGACTTTTCAAAATTAGTACCATTTTCATCTGTGTTTGTGCTCTGTGTGTGTAGCAAAAAGAGAAAAAGCATGCACGCAATGTAATAGTGATAACTAAATATATCAAAATTAAATATATACAATACAAAGGATTTATAAAATGTTAGTTTTAGGGATTAAACTTTATTTTTACAAGCCCAACTGAGATGCTATTTAGTTGATTCTAATGTTTACATCACTTTCTTTATATTCCTCCCACAACAGCTCGTAAGTGAAAAAAAAATCACACTTTTTAGTTTTGCATTTTCTTTACAAATATCCTATATTTATTGTAAAACAAACCAGAAAAAGTGTGATAGCAATTTCCCATGCAGTGACATTTTCTCTGAAGAAGCTATCATATTGGCTAAAGTAGAGTGAACTCTCTCAAGAAAATGAATTGTAATTCCCACTATGAAATATTTCCAAAGAATATTTTTAGGCAACTCTTCTGGAAGCATAAACGCATTTAAAATGGTAACAAATGAGTAGTTTATCCAATGGAATCTAATTGACTTGGATCAAAAGTGTGTCTCACCACACGGCTTTTCCATCCAGAAAGATCAGTGCAAGTAGAAAACTGTCTGTGTACAGTTATTTCTGCATACATCTCTCACTTCAGCACAGAGTAACTTTATGATGACCTGTGCAGACCAGAAATGAAACCTCTCCCTGACTGCCTCTGAAGATCAGAGTTTTCAGAATCAAGCTGAAGTTCTGCCCAATATTAATTTTTTTTCACTAATGAATGTTTACTGGGGATTAGCAGACCCCCCACTTTGAAAGCAGGCACAAATTCCACACTATCTTACCTCTAACAAGAATAAACATCAGTATGATTCCTAGCTCCTTTGGAAGAAGCTCAAAGCTGCAATTAATTACTTTTAATTTCAGTATTACAGAGTGTACTTGTATTTTGTTTGCCCAGAACAGATGAGGTTATCACTTATTTAAGGAATACTTAAAACACCCCATACGATATTAGATACCAATGCAAAAATTAACCTCTTCCTTTCTAACTTTTCTTTCACCGTAAAGCGATACACAGCTGTTACCGTTTGTTATTCTCGGGCGTAAAGGGAATTGTGATTTCACGGGAAGTGTAAGACCCGGTGGTAATTTTTTTTTGTTGTCTTTCCCTGCCACCTAGTGGTTGCACAGAACAGGGCTCTCAATACTGCGCACTACTCTTGACAAGCTATGAATTCACGTGCTATTAAACATGTTCCTCTGACACTCCATAAAACCCCCTTGCCTCTTTCACATACTTTAAGGCCAAGGATGCCTAACTCTCTGTATGGCACACTGAGATCCCTGATCTACTAGTCTGTGGGTGATACCAAAATAAACAGATTAAATGATACTTACCTGCAATTAATGTTTTTTTCTTCTCACAAAACTGTAGCTCAAAATACTTTATAAAACAGCTGGAAAAATCATTTAAGGGTGTCTTAGCATGTCCAAAGGCCTCCAAGATACAGTTTACCTGCAAGACAATGGTAAAGAAGTAATAAGGCAGGAAATAAACAGGAAGATGTTTCAATAAACATCAATGAGGTGGGTTTGTGATCAATAACTGGAAAAAAAGACCATTTTTCAGATTAGAATTTAATAAATTCCTTGACAGTATTTTCTACATAGAAATTAAAGTAAGATAGCTCAAAAGAAAAAAAAAAAGTGTTGTCAGAATAGTGGAAGTTGTAAATGGAAGGGGAAGACAAGGGCTCACACTTGAGCTGTGTCCTTGCAGGTAGTTTGGTTACAAGTGACTGGAGTCATACGCTCAGAGCAGGCATGCTTAGCAAAAAGATTAGAATCTTTGAAGGCAACTATGCTTGTAAAGTTACAGTCAGTTGATACTAGTAATCAGCCAAAACTTTATATGATGCCAGAAAAGGCATAAATTATTGATTTCAAATAGAATTACTTCAGCATTATACTAGTGAAAAAGTGAGGGAAAAAACAGATTCTGACTTCTTTATGGCATCTCTCACTAATGCATTTCCATATTACGTCTTCACGGTCACAGCAATTATTCTTAAAAGATTAAAAAGTTTAAAACTAATAAAAAGTATTAAATGTGCAATCTTTATTCCATGTTTTCTCTGTATTTGCCCTTTTTGTGTATTAGTTTCTTACACTAAATGGATTCCCTTCAGCACTTTCCTCTTTTGCACCCTAAGAAATTGATTGCGACATGGCCTCAATACACTACTGTTCTGATATAACCATCGTCTGCCGAAGCTGGATGACCTAGATAGGGAGAGGTAAGAGAGAAGAGGGCTGTGGAGTGGCACAGACAATGTGTGGCTCCAATCACAAAGACAGAAGCTCTAAATATCAGACTCTTCAGAATTATTAATTAAACCAGCTATTTGTGCAGTAGGTGGCAGCAGAAAACTAGTCAGCCTGGTTTTGGTTCTGCTCCACTAGTGCTGTTTAGGATGCATTTGCTCATTAGGCTAATTCAGCACTTGGTTTAACCTGTGCAGCTTTATTAACTTCAAAGGAATGAATTCAGGCTATTGTGTTCTTTAAAGCACCTTAAAAGGCAACTAAACCAGAATCTCTACTTGATTCCTCATGGGTGGGATCTGCTACATCTACCTTCACTGTCTGAAGTCAGGTGTCCAATCTAAGCTAATTACAAAGGATCTTTCTATAACCAAATGGCAACTCATTTTTCTTAATATGTGATGATTCTCTTCTGCCCGCATTGACTAAGACTCATTGACACATATGGCTACATCTATACTGTTAAACTAAACAGGGCCAGGAGCAGGACTCTGTCCTTTGCGGTAAGTGGCGTGGTAAGGTTCACATTCAGACATCTACCTCTTCTTTTGCAGAATAGGGTGGACATACTGTTTTGAATGGTCCCTGGCACATGCTGTCCTCTGAACTGTGGCCAGAAGACCTGCTGGGGATTTAAACTGTGCCACGGAGCAGGGTAACAACTGCTTGTTAAGGATTGTTGTTCAGTTTACTACATAGATGTAGAGTAGGTTAAAATAGTGTGCAAAGTTAACTACTTTTTAGACGGAGAAAATTAGGCCTGGTCAGCTTCCTCCCACACTGATTCTTCTTCTTAACCGAGGACAACATCTTATTTCGTTTGCACTAGATCATGATGGTTTTCCCTAGGAATTTTCCTGTGGTCAGGCGACAAGTTGCAGCAGAGACAAGACTACTTCCCACCCCTCCTGATTCCTGCT